GGACTTAGAAGCCGGAATAAGCTTTGTTGAGTTTTCAGGTGTAGCTTTTGGCGTACCAGATCTTGATTCTGAGATTGAAGTAATACTGATTGGATGATTTTGAATCACTTCACAATCCTCATTATCACTCATTTTCTTTACTAGTACACGTTCTGGTTCCTGAATTATTTCTGTTGGTCGAGATATTGTTTTCTGGAAGATAGTCGTCTGAGGATATGGTAGTTTCCTAATAACAGTACTTTTCAAGGAACATAATCGTTCGTGGCGTAGTTTACCCGAATAGTTATATAGTACCCGATTACAGTGAAAGCATTTGAACCGTTTAATAGTTGAATGATAGTAACTGAAATGGCAATCTAAATCGTACGCTGAACTGAATCGGCTAGTACACATCATACATTCATGAGGTTTTTCGTGAATTTTGGTATGTCCTGAAATTTTAAATTTTAGAATTTTGTGGTTTCAAAGGAAAAGCCCAATCCTTTAAAAAAAATTTGAAGAAGAAATGCGTCAATTAACGACTGAAAGCTTACTGCTTAAAGCACTCTGTCCAGACAGGTGCTTGTCGCAAACCGTACACCGAAATAATTTGCCTTTATGCTTGGCTAAATGCTCTCTAAAATTGTAAAAAGTTTCGTAAGTTCGATCGCACTGGTTACACTCGAATAATTTCCGTTCATCGTTATTTTCCTTTACGAAATTGGTTGTATGCACTAAAATTTAAAATACTCAAAACGATAACCAAAATATTGAAAATTACTTCAGCAAATTTTCTAAAATTATGAAATTTTGTTGAAGTCTTCATTTTTAAACCCAAGAAATTCCATTTCAAAACTATGACCACTAACCGGAATGTTTCTTAAGTTCATGGGCTCGCAAACGTTTCTCTGATACGAACGTTCTCGCGCATTTTTCGCATTCATATTTACGCTCATGATGGGCAATCACATGATCCTGAATCCATCAGATTTTTTATGAATGCCTATTTATTGCCTAATGCTTTAATTTAAAATAAAGAAAATGAAAGCTATTGTGTGATTAAAGCAAGTGAGAATTAAAAACAAATAAATGAAAAGGATTTAAAAATTAGAAAAGAAACTGATAAAGTGGAATCAGAACAGACCTGAAGATCTTTGGTTGATTCATATATCTTACCACAAATTGGACATATCCTTCTCGAAAATGTAATATTACTTGTAATTAGATTCATCGGATACTGGTTAGCAATTGGAACTGGGAATAAAGGCAAGAATGGCTGAGTACAATTCTGAGTAGTTGAAAATATGAGCTCATTGATCGGTTTATTTAATTTCGAAAAATCAGAGGTCAAGTGAATCGGAGATGGTACATTCGCTGAAAGAATGAAATGCTACAAGCAGTTTCTTCCATTATTTCCAATGAGTAGTTTTAACTCAAAAGAAATGTACTTGTAGTTCAACGAAACTTTTGTTTACTGATTCATTAGATGATTCATTTGTTTTTGTATTCAATACTAAAACTTATTTGTTTACTCATCTCCTAATGGTCATTTTGTCATTTCATTACAAAATTTGCGCATATGCAAAAACTGTTTTGACCACTCAGTGCTAATTATCGTCAATGACACTTGTAGAATGGTCATCACCTATGATTTTTCAGTTATTGGGTCACTGTAATACAGTAGCATCTATTTGATTGCTATTCATTGTAATGTAAGCTAGTTGTAATTAATTGTACTCTATTGAGCTTCAAAAATTTCCAGTTGAAATTTTAAGATATTATTTATTATGAAAATGTTGGAAAGCTTAAGGGTAGTAGAAAATATGAGAAATGAAAAAAGTATATAAAGTAGAAATTAACGCACCCATTTGAAATTGTCACCCTTTTACAAACTAGCGATATTGAGGTACTGATGGATGAAAAGGTTAATACAGAAGACTGGACTAGTGAACGAATGTCCTCTTGGAATGAGCAATAACTAATATGCAAATTTGGGTTTTGCTGGAGGTAAAAGGGTGGAGTGAAATTGACCGCCATAATGTCAACGATAGATGGGAAAGAAAAAAAATTGAATGCTTATCGTTTGTATTGTCTTCGATTAATTTCGATACTGCATCAAATTACAGATAACAATCTTTTCAAACTTTCTGATAAATATTGGACTGTCAAGGAGAATGATAACTGTTCCATCCGTCAAGGTCACTCATGAATCTCAATGTAGTTGATGTTCGTCGCATAGCTTTCGTAATTTCTTCCCATACCACTGATAAGATCAAAAAAAAAGTCTAAGAGATGGATGAATTTTTATGAGAGTGAGAAAAAGGGACAGTTTAGGACCAGAAGAGGTGTCATTTAATGAGTTATCTTCAAATTTTAAACTATCGTTCCGTTTAAATTTCCCTAAAATCATCAATTACTTATCATTCCTCCTCTGCATGCATATCATCTTCGTGTCTATGATCTCATTGAATATTTATATATTCTATTTGATTTAAAATGCTGAAAAAATTGCACAAGGACTCGAAATGGCGAAGAAGAAATAAAACAGGCAAAAGATAACTTATATTCTAAGAAATTCCCAAATTTGAAATTGACCTCAAGTCGAGAAAAACTATCTAATCACATAACACTGATAACTGCACTCCGTATCATTGATAATCTCAATAATTAATGGTAGCGTATTGTTTGTCGTAACTTTGATAGCCGATAACACATGGTCATTCGGTCATCTCTGATAAGCGATACTTACTGACCATGTAATAACAGATAACACGTGAATCAGGTTGTATCTTTAAAGTTCATCCTTATCATTCCTTTCACGGGAATTGCTTATCAAAATACTCTTGATAAAATCAGTAATTATTCTTTTTGAATTGCTCATGTGGGAGGAAATTTTTCATCGAAAATTTGTTGTTCAAGTTTGACAGTATGGTTACGGTATTTGGTGCGGTTCAGGCTTATTTATAAGCTGACTTTTGCCTCTTTAGATAGCTTGGAAACTTCGAGCCCTCAGCAAACTTTCCATATCTAGCTTGGATGAGTGATATAAACTGTGTGTTTTTAAAGAGTTTTTGATTTTTTTTTTGGAAATAGCCGGTTAATTGCTGTTTTCTCTCACAGCTCTCTTTGGCTTAATCTAATCTACAAGAAAGCTTTAATAAAATATAAGTACTACAGACAATTCGGTGCAGTACACTTCATTTCCTGCTAATGATGGTTTTTTCCCAAATCCGGAAGCAATCCCGGAAACAATTGTTTCATGTTTCGAGCTTTCCAGTCATTGATTTTAATCTAAAAAAAAAAAGCATCACGAATTGCCATGTTGGATTATCATTACCACTTCCCACAGGTAATCATTGAACTATATGTAGAAACAAGCCTGAAAGACCATCAATATACTTTTTGGCATCAAAATTATCATCATCATTCAGACTATCACAATCACCAAAACCACCATCATGATCGCCACTGCTTGATGACCTTCTGTTTTCACCATTCCAAGCCTAAGCTTAAACCTAAACCTAAAATGATCAGTTATTTGTGATAACAATCAATATACCAAATCGATAACATATTGATTAAAACCAGCAATAACCTTATGAAATCTTTACTAAAATCGCCAAAAATTTAAAAATTTTCTTTAATCCAAATTACTTATACAGGTATTTCCTAAGCAATTCCAACTAAATCTAAGCCTAAGCTTAAGTTTCAATCCTGATTAATGATTTATGATAGCAATCAATATCTCAGATCGATAATATACTTGTCAAAAATAGCAAAAACTTTGTCAAATTTTTACTAAAATCACCTAAAAATCTTCCTAAAATACAGCAATTCAAAAAAAATTTTGATTTCATTTCAATTTTCATCATATCAATCTTCAACATTTTTCAACGGTATTATTTCTTTTTTTTTTTTTTCTTTTTGTTGTCAAATATATTTGCAAACAAATGCAACATGCTATATCATCTTCTTTACACACCAAACAATGTAATATATAAGAGGGATCTTATAGGTGGGATTAAGAAAAAATAATAGTGAAATTAAGGATGAAATTGATGAAAACAAGAACAAAAAGTAAGTAGAAAATGAAAAAATAAAAAATTAAAAAAATAAAAAAATAAATTTGGTAAAAAAACAAATTTAAAAAATTTAAGAATTTAAGAATTTCAATGAATTGATTTGAAAGCAATAAATTGTGCTTTCAAATCAAATTTTCATGTTGGAGAAATTAAGAAATTTCTCAAAAATCAAGGAATACTTGCTATGCGCAATAAATTATCAAACAAATGTCGAGTATCAACATTACTTGGACTTTTAGGTTTCATAGTGTAGCCGGTTTGTGGGAAATTATCTGTACTGTACAATAGACCGCTTTTGTTTCCCGGTATTTGGCGGTATGATTGATGGATATTGTGGGGGGTTTCCATCGGTTGTTTCCGGATTGATTATGGGGTCATCCTGAGTCCGTGAATGGGAGGAAAGAGAAGGGGAAGTCATTTTTCTGGAGTGGAATTTGTTGGCTAAGAGTTGGGGAGCACTGAATATGATACATCCATTATGGGAAGTGAGAGTTTGAAAAAATTGGGAAAAGCGTAATTGGCAGTGGAAAATCTAGAGATTGAGCATGTTTACAAAAATATATATTTGTCAGTAGAAAGCTAGAGGGATAGGAAAAATACATAAAAAACACTAGATATGTCTTTTTCAACATTCTCAATCTCTCTTCAATATGTACCAAGAAGCTAAATGTTGAGGGAAAAGCGTTAGTTAAAGATCGAGGTTAAAATAATTAGAAACAATGATTAGCAAAGGTTGCGAGGGAATTTTTCGAGAGAATGGATATGTTTTTTGCGAAAATTTTCCATTTTTCCACAAGATTTTTTCATTACAACGGTAGTGGAGTATGATAGAATATAGTGGTAGAGTTTGGTAGGATAGGGACGGCTGAGTTAGGTAAGGCTAACAAAATAAGACGTTATGCGAAGGAATGTGCGAAAGAAAATTGAGAAGAACAGTGGACTACAATTATAATAAGGGAAAGACGGGATCAGTTGTTAATATTCCGAGATTCCGTTATCCCATTTCTGAATAGAATAAATCTTCATATTAGGTTAATAATATTCAAATTACGAGGAAGAATAGGTATGAGGTCATACGAAGTCGAAATAATTTTGAGATGCGTCGTATCAGTTAAATGAAGCTTTAAATTCATTGAAAATCGGAGGTTAGACTATCGGGTATGCTGAGAGATATGCTGAGAGCAGGATATATCCTAAAAAACTGTAGTACCATAAGTCTTTATAGAAGGGGGTTATAATGAAAATTTGAATTTTTCGGAGTTATGCGTGTTTTTGAATCGATGATTCTTGAATCAATAATAATGTTATTGTTGGTCTTCAAGTTTACGACTAATTTTTGGGTGATTGTTGATTGCTGAATGCCTGTTAGTCTCTGAATTATTGTAACTACTTTTAATTGTTCGATAAATCAGTAATAGACTTAATACTATGTGCTTAGTTCGTTAGCTTACATTAGTAATAACCCAGTATTTTAAAGTGGAATTGTGATATCTTCAGATCATCGTGGGAATGCGTTTTCGAGTTTGGAGTCGCCGTGGTCCAGCACCACTTTTTCCACCCTTATATGGACCTCCACCTGGTGGTGCACCTTCAGGACCGGTATTTGCATGCCGACCAATGTCATTCGATTTAGCACTCTGTGAAGCTAGTTTTCCAAGGATCAAAGAACTGGATGATACCGATTTGGCACAAGTATTCCACATTGTTTTTTATCTTTGCTATATGATTCAATATTATGTTCTCATTCGTTTATTGATGCTAACTTTCCTGTTGCGATATTTGATACATGATGCTATTTTTCTAAACTG